TCTGGCTGGATGCTGAGAAAATGCACCCAGATTATAGTGAGCACTCAGAAACATTCCCTGTCCTCTCCTAACACCTGTCTCCATTCTTTTTTTCTTCTTTTTTTTTTTTTATTTCAGAGAGGAAGGGAGAGAGAAACATCAATGATGAGACTCATTGATCGACTGCCTCCTACACACCCCACACTGGGGATCAAGCCCACAACCTGGGCATGTGCCCTGACCGAGAATCGAACAATGACCTCCTGGTTCCTAGGTTGACGCTTAATCACTGAGCCATGCCAGCCAGACGATTCTTTTCCACTAGGCTGTATATAGTTCTTAATCTCCCAAACGAGATAGTATTAAATAAAAAATTTCATGAATTTTCTTGCTCTTCCTTGTTATTTCCCTCCCCTACATACACACACCCAACACAGTGCCTTAGATGGTCTGTAAATTATATTTTTTAGAGGTATACTTTGAAGGAGTGCGAATGGATAAGAACATGAGCTTTTGAAGTCAGACATACTTGAGTTTGAAATCCAGCCCACCTTTTTACTGGCTGTGTCACCTCAGCAAGTTTGAGGTGACACAGCCAGTAAACTCTCTGCCGCAGTTTCCTTATCAGTTAATTGGGACTGGCACCTACAGGGCAATAAGGGTTAATTTCATATATGTAAAGCCCATAGCACAGTATCAGGCACATACCACTCAATAAATTATCACCGTTCTTATTACTGTAATTAACAGAAGGTATCAAACTTGTTGTAATTTATCTTACAGAACAAATTTCTTAATAAGATAGGAGTATTTGGAGATTAGAGAATTGCAGTTATAAACTGACTTTTTTGCATAAATTAACTGCTCTGGCATAATTACATATAACAGTTTATTCAGTCTGTGAATCTCAAGAACTAACATATTTCTGATCCTTAATCCTCCCCCATTTTTTAAAGGAAATTACTTTTCTAAAGGTACTGCCTGTTTCTTCATTTATTCCACTTTAACTCCATGGTTTGAAATCTTAAAAATTAAAGATGCTGTACTAGTAAATAGATTAATGGGTATCTTTTCTCCCTCATGATGATGTGTACTTACACAATTTTTTTCTTTTTAATATATTTTTATTGATTTTAGAAAAGGGAGAGGAAAAGAGAGAGACAGGAACATCAATAATGAGAATCATTAATGAGCTGCCTCCTGCACACTCACAAAGGGGATCGAGCCTGCAACCCAGGCAGGTGCCCTGACCAGGAATCGAACCGTGACCTCCTAGTTCATAGGTTGACATTCAACCTCTGAGCCATGCCAATATTTTTTGAAACAGTATGGAGAGATCTTATTATCCATGAATGTAAATCATCCTTTTAGATATCCAGTATTCTTGCTATTCCAGGGTGTCACTATATTATTATTTCTTTAATCATTCCTGATTAAGTGACTGTTTTCAAATATATGATATATCAATGTCTTCAAAATATTTTATATCTCTAAGTTGATGTCTAAATTTTTCATCATAGTTGCAAAGCTTTTGTAATTTATGGGGGTGTGGGGGATTATAAATACTGGCATTGTAAAATACAACTTTTAAATCAGCCTTAAATGTATCAAATGAAATATAAATATTATTGCAGAAACTTTATATCATTTCATTTTTTTCCTTGACTACCTTTGTTTCACTTCCACAGAATTTTATATTAAGACTGAAGGCCTAGTGCCATGGTTGGCAAACTGCAGCTCTGGAGCCACATGCGGCTCTTTGATCCCTTGAGTGTGGCTCTTCCACAAAATACCACAGCCTGGGAGAATCTATTTTGAAGAAGTGGTGTTAGAAGAAGTTTAAGTTTTAAAAATTAGGCTCTCAAAAGAAATTTCAATCGTTGTACTGTTGATATTTAACTCTGTTGACTAATGAGTTTGCCGACTGACCACAGCCTAGTGCATGAATTTGTGCACCAGGTGGGGTCTGGCTGGCCTACCCTGTTGGGGGGGGGGGAGGCAATTGGGAGAGGAGCTGTAGGTGGTTGACCCCACCCCCCAATGAAAGGGGGCAGTGTTCAGGGGCAGGGCTTGCCTGCCCTGCCCCCTGGTCAAACTACTGGTCAAGAGGACAATTTGCATATTAGGCTTTTATTATATAGAATGATATATTTTTACCATATAATTCAAGCATTTTCTGATCATTTTAATCATACTTATCTGAAATAAAAATACTTTTATAAATTGGAATTTTAAGCTTTTTCTTCAATCTCAAAGTATAAAATTTTCTTCAAAGTTTTTTTTTTTTAATTCTTTATTGTTTAAAGTATTGCATTAGTCCCCTTTTTCCCCCATTGATCTTTCCCCTGCCATTTCTAAGTTGTTTTTATAACCATTAGAACAATGTGATTGATCAAAGCAAACATTACAAATTTGGATTTAAAATTACTTTTTATGTTTACATTCTAAAAATGACTCATTTAATGAGCAAATGGGATTTTTCCCAGTGCATTTATCTGTTTATGGACTAATACTACTTATTGCAGGAATGAAAACAATGTTATTATTATCTCTAATTTTTGTTTTTTTGTTTTCATGGTTGGTAAATATTGAAAAAAATTAGTGGTCTTTATGATAGCAAATTAAAAATAATACAAATTCTTTTGATAGTTTGGGAATGGAAAATGTATTATAACAATGACTCTTAATTATTTTTCATTCTTTAAATGACCAAAAACCACTTAGTAATGTAATATCGAAATTATTCATCATGATCATCAGCTATTATTGTAATTTTACAAAAAACTAAAACTTTGGGGTTTTATTAGAGGCGTTTACGTTTATCACAAACCATAATTTTCTTTGCCTCCTTGCATCTAGGTTTTTCCACTCCAGGGCAGCATACCACATTAAGATTTGGATGGTTAGGAGATATGCCTGTCTTTTGTATTGTGGTGAAAATAAGAAAAGAATTGTGAAAGGGGAGTTGAAAAGAAAAATAACCTTCCTGAGAATGCCTTCAAAGCCTTAGCCATGAAGGCATTCTCAGGAAGAATTCAGATAGAAATTGAGAGGCTGCAAGCAATCCTCTTAACACCCCTTCCCCTCTTGTCTTGTTAAGTCAGCTCAGAAATTCATGCACCCAAGTTTGAAGATCACTATGTATGTAAAACCCTATAAAGGATATTTGTCTAGGTATATATATCCTCAGGATAAATTCCCAGTTAGAATGATGGGTTGAAAAGTATTAATATGTACCTTTCGACAGTGGTACCAGTAATGCCAGTTTATGATTGGCAATCCCAGAGAGTCATTCACAACCTGTTTCCCACACCCTCACTTCATTGAGATACTCTTTTTTGTCAATCTGCTTGAATTTCTGTTATACCATTGAACTCAACATTTTTGTACATGTTTTCATTTGTATTTCTTCATGTTATATCTGTGCACTTTTTATTATAGTAGTCATCTTTGTTTTTAGTTCTTTCTACATAGAAATTCATTCATGCTTTGTCAAAAGTGTTACAATATACTTCACCACCTCCACCCCCAGTTTATTATTCTTTCAGCCTCATTTATGATTTGTTTTGCCATACAGATATTAGTTTGCTTATTTGTTTCTTTTTGTAGTTTGATTTCAAGCCAACTTTCCCATAGTTTCAAGTCATGCTTATACAATTTATGAATTTTATGGTGTTCATTTATATTTTACTTCTATTAGTTTTAAAGTATCTTCAGATATGCTGAGATTTATGTTTATACTAGAGGCTAAGTGCACAAAATCGTGCACAGGTATGATCCCCAGCAGCTGCCTTTCATCCTGTGCTGCCCCCTGGTGGTCAGAGCGCATCATAGCAAGCAAGCAAGCATACTCCCGGTCAGTCAGATTCCCAAGAGGACACTTTGCATATTAGGCTTTTAGAGAGAGAGAGAGATAGAAGGTTCCGTGTTTAGGTAATACATTAATAAAACTATTAGTATCATTAGAAAAGAATGGTTTTTAACACTTTGAGAAAAATATAAAAAGATACACATAATATAACAACTACCAATCTCCTAGAGAAGTAGCATCATTTTATTTTCAATCCTTTTTTTGGTTAATCCTCAGCCAAGGATTCTTTTCCATCAATTTTTCTCTCCCCCCACCCCAGGAATTGAACCTACAACCCAAGTACGTGTCCTGGACTGGGAATTGAATCTATGACCCTAGGTGCTCAGGCCAACATTCTAACCACTTAACTACACTGGCCAGGGCACGTTTACAATCTTTTTAAATAAAAGAGTAAAATGGTGAAAGTACCCTTTTACTACCACCCTCAGGAACATTCTGTAAGTCATATCCCCCTCCACCTGGAGGCATCTTTTACTATGAGTTGAGGGATCCTTCAGTTCTTCATAAAAGGTCATACATATGTATCCTTTAACATATTACCTCTGGTGAATTTTTAAATTTACATGACATCATGCTGTATAGAGTGTTCTACAACCTGCTTTTTCATATCTATCTAACAAAATGATTTTTAAATTTTAAACATATTGCTGTATTTTTAAACATTGCTGTATATAAATTTATGGTATTTTTAAATAGTATTCCATCATATGAATATAGAATATTGGATGTATCCATTACCTAGTACATGAACATTAAATTGAGTCTGATTTTTTGCTGTTACAATGTTGTGCACATTCTTGTGTGAATGTCCTTGAGTATAGGTGAGAGGTTCTATAGGTGTGCATGCTCAGAAGTCAAATTGTTTAGGTTACAGCATATATTATTAGCTGATCTGTGGTGTGGTTTTAATTAGTAATCCTTTCTGAAACTATTAAAATGATAGCGACTTGTCTGCATTTAAAAAGACTTTGACTTGGCTTATGTTTAATAGATCACGTTTCATATATCTAGCCTAATTACTTAATTTCAAAACAAGTGACCATTTCCAGTGTGAAACGTTTCCGTGAATAATTGACAATAAGTAGCAGATTTCTTGATGAAGTGAGACTTGTTTCATTTATGTTGGGTTTTGTTTCTTCCCCTCCTCTAGGTAGCCTTTCCAGTAAATATATGACTCAGGGAAAAGCCTCAGTGAAGAGGACCCAGCAGGAATCATGAGGGAAGGAAAATGCAGCGCTCTAAATGGCCACTCAGGCATTCCTAATCACTCTGAAAATTAGGTTCATTTTACGGGACTCAGCAGCATAGATCAGGCTTCAACTTAACATTTAAGGGAAATGTCAGATTTTTTTTTTTAACTGAATGAAATTCATAATAAGGAAAAAAAATTTTAATGTAGTCTTACCTACCACAAATCCTCATAGATTTAAGGATTTTAATAGAAAGCCATGGTGTATGTATTTAAGCCAGGTTTAAAAAAAAAAAAAATAGTAACAATGGGCCAGTATTCAGTGAATACAATTTCATGGTTTTTAATTCTTTCCAATCACACTAAAATGGTGTGCTGATAAACCCCAAGAAATTAATCCTTTCTTTCCTATAAATCCCTTTTTTGTTTTGAAGAGGGGAAATTATATTTATTGTTGTTTACTGAATTCCTGTGTGAAAGTGTGTCAAATACGTGTGAACTGCTACTACTGTGTTTACCATTTGCAAACCTATTTTATTGATATTTGTAAAAGAAGTGATAACATGAACATGATTACCTGTTTATGTGAGTCTTCCATCGATGAGCAATGCCAATGAGGGGCTTTTTGGTATTTTCCCTCTCTAATTTTAATTAAGTTGACATATATCTACTATGCTCCTAAAAATGAAGTGAGGAAAACAAGTAGTCTTGTTTGCTGCTAAAAACAATTTCAAAGAAAAAATGACAAATAAAAGTGGTTTTTACTTTTTATGATATTTAGAAATTAGGGTGGAGAACTTAAAAAAAAAAAAAAAAATCCCTGCAGATTAAGAAGCCATCTCTGCCAATTGTAAATTTGCTTGGTATCATTTTGGGTCTGACTGGAACTCTCATGGAACTGTTTCTGTAACCTCACAAGCCTTTCAAAAGTAGTACATGGTCACAACTGTTTCAGTTTGATTTTGAAATAAAAGCAAAATTTTGATCTGTAATTTTATCCACATCCCTTTTTAGTGAGAGTTCTAACTTCGATGAAGAACCTAGATCTGAGCCTCTTTATCTCGTGCTTATACTCCACTGCCATTCCTTGATACCCGCTGGGTGGCAAGCACTAGGAATGCACAACTAGGCACAGATTTAGGAGAACAAATACGGAGAGGGAGGTACCAGAGGGTTTTGCTGAGTAAGCATTCCTAGATAGGAGAGAACTCAAAACATATACCCAAGGCCCTTCTTTTAAACAAATTACTTGAAAACATATTCCAGCTAAAGGAGAATCATGTAAAAATTAACTTCAGAATTGTGATAGAAAGAATTAGTGATCATTCCTTACTCAGTCTGAATCAATACAAACTCTTAAATTAAGTGAATTATGCAACCTGAGCTGAAACTCTGCTCTGCATGACTTTCCTCGGCTGCTGCTCTTCGAGTTCCTCTCTTGCCTTCGTGCATGAAAGTCAGCCTGACTGGGCACACAGTTCTTGTCAGACTTCCTGTGGAAAGCCTTCAGACGCCGCTGTTTCCTGGTATTCCAGCAGAAGTCTGAGGCCAGCCTGATTTGTATTCCCTTGCAGGTTTTATTTTTCTACTTTGAAGCTTGTGTGTTCATTCCTGTATCTTTTGTGTCAGTGACTTTTTTTCTCAACAAAACTGAATCCAATATATCTCCCTACCCAAGTTTTTTTTTTTAATTATTATTATTGTTTTTTTATCCTCACCCAAGGGGTTTTTTTGTTTGTTTTTGTATTGATTTGAAAGAGAGAGAAAAATATCCAGCTTCTATACATGCCCCGAACTGGGATCCAAACCCACAATCTAGGTTTGTTCTCTGACCAAGAGTTGAACACGCAACTTTTTGGTGTATAGGATGACACTCCAACCGAGTGAGCTAGCCAGGGCATGTGTGTATGTATATGTGTGTGTGTGTGTGTGTGTGTATACACACACACATATACACACACACACACATATATATACACACACACACACATATATATATATACATATATATATATATATATATTTCAGAGAGAGAGATAGAGAGAGAGATGGAAACATCAATGATGAGTCATTGATCAGCTGCCTCTTGCACTCCCCTATTCTAGGAATCCAGCTTGCAAACCGGGCATGTGCCTTTGACTGGAATTGAACCCCGAACCTTTCAATCTACAGGCTGACACTCTTATCCACTGAGCCAACCCAGCTAGGGTTTAATCAATTTGAGAAAGTATTTTTTTTTCCTCAAAAATTCTTTTGTCTTAATATTCCTCTCATCTTATTTCTACCTGCTAGGAAAACTCAAATTTAACCTCCCCATGACTAGCTTGATTTTTTAGTGTCATTCTGCTGTTTGCTGTTTCTAACTAAATTTTTTCATCATTCCACTTCTAATTTTCTTGACTTATTCTCACCCACTTCCTTTTCCTCTCATTTTAGCTTAATTTCATTATCTTCCTTTTCATAGAAACCATGTTTTCTTACTTCCTTTTAAGGATGTTGAAAGATTCCTGCATTCTATTCTGATTTCCAAAGTAGATTCTACCCTGTGTACTATGCTTTTAGTCTGATTTTGAGCCTTCCTTTGGGATCAGTGGGACAGTGGCCAATATTTGCCAGCAGACCTGGAAAATGGGTTGCCCTTAACTTTTTGCTCCCTTAATTTGGATGCCAGTGGATACCCCTTCTCAGCGCCCCTCGGGGACAGATACATCTGCCCCATATCATGTTCAGTTCCCTGAGGGTGGCTATCTTTTGGATGCAGCTGGCCTCTCTTAACAGGCTCTACAAATGCCCCACTACTGGGGTTCTTTTTCTCTTTCTCTCGGGAACAAACAAAAATATTAATTCCATTTTTATAACCCCAGTCAATAACAAACACCTTGCTCAGTGTGTACAGTATCAACAATGTGCACAAAGATGTTATTTAGTTGTTCTGAGATAACTTCAGTTTATTTTTTCATCTTAAAATATATTTCATAAATGGTTCTGGGGTTTTTTAATATTTCTCAAATGGGAACATTTGTGAGTAGATAGGTCAAAGGGTTCATAGTGTTTCAGGCCAAAAAATATTTTTTTCAAAAAGCAAATAAGAGGATTTAATATCTCCCCCCACACACACACACACATCTAAACTGTAAAAATGTGCTCCTTGCTTCTTTCTTTGAAAGCAAGTGTGTATGGGCAGCAGTCAAGACTTGAGCAGACTTCACTGTGTGAAATGACAGGCTTAAAGGGGGTCTGGCTCTGCCAGTTTTCCAGCGAAGAGTGTGGCGCTCCTCCTAACCTTTTGGCAGTTCCATTTCCCTGCCCCTTCACTATGTAGTGAGCATCAAGCGAGGTCTTATTAGGAAAAGACATTTTTAAATGTCTAGAACCCTGAAACTAAATCCTGGGGTGCAATATTGAACATTTCCCTATTGAAAGTTCTTAACCTACTAGTAAACATCTAAAAATGGTTACAGCTTGCTATCTCCTTGAACAGTTTCCACCCTTCACACCACCACCACCACCCACCCCCCGCTCATTTCCACATCACAGGACAGCTCCTGCTCTGAGATAAAGGAGTGCACATATTTCTTACTCATGAAAACTCTTAAATCCAATTTAAGGGACTGCCCCAGTTTCAAATAACATTAGGTATCACTGAACCACTGACAAGTAGATTTTGTGATTTAGCACTTAACAAGCAAAACACATATCCAAATTAAAAACTAAGTAGTGTGTCTTAAAGGAAAGAAGGCTATTTAATGCACACAGGACAGTGGCCAATATGAATCAGAAGACTTAGACAGTGAATCAGAAGACTTAGAGCTAAAATTTTAAAATAGCGTCTGGTGAATTATAGTAAGTCTTGGAGTTTAAAGCATTGCTTGTAAAATAGCTGCACCAACATTCCTGTCCTATATAGCTCAAAGTTGTGAGGCTACTATGACAGTATGCTAAGGGTTCTTTTAAAAGCTGTAAAGTGCTACATATACAACTATGATATTTTAATAATTTACAAAAATGATAATCAGTTTTTACATTTTAAAAGGACATATTTCTTAATAGGTTGATTTTTAGAGAGAGGTAAAAGAAGAAACATTGAATTTTTTTCTACTTATTTATGCATTCATTGGTTGATTCTGGTAAGTGTCCTGCATGGGGATTGAACCCTGAAACCTTGGATATCTAGACAATACTCTTTTTTTATTGTTATTATTAAATTATTATCTGTGTACATATACCATTGCCCCCCCCCCATACATGCCCTCCTTCCCCAGAGTTTTATGTCCATTGGTTGTACTTATATGCATGCATACAAGTCCTTCGGTTGATCTCTTATCTACCCCAGATCTCCCTACCCTCCCCGCTGTAATTTGACAGTCTGCTTGTTGCTTCACTTAGACAATACTCTTAACTGAGTCACCTGGCCAGGCCTTTTTTTTTTTTTTTTTTTTTTTTACATTTTTATTAACTTCAGTTTTTCACAGCAAAATTAAGCAGAAAGTACAGTTTCCATAATCCCCAGCAAGCTAACCTCCCCCACTATCCACAACCTGCACCAGGACAGGACATTTGTTACAATCCAAGAACCTAAAGGGACATACCATTATCACCCAAAATCCATAGATTACATTAGAATTCGTTTTGGTGTGGAACATTCTATGGGTTTAGACAAATATATAATGGCATGCATCCACCATTGTGTCACACAGAATAGTTTCAAAATGTATGGCATCTCTAAATTCCCTTACCAATTAGCAAGTTTTACTGGGCACTGCAGTGTGCCAGGCACTCCTCTAAGGCTTTTCATTTGGTCTTCACAACACCTGTAGGAGGAAGGACATGAGAAGTAAAATACCTTGTTCCTAAATCACCCAACTATCCCACCACACTTCTGTCTCCTAATCCCAGTTTCTTCTAAGCTTTGGAGGTTAGGGGGAAAATAACTTACATTCTCTTATTGTCAGTGTGATTGCATTTCAGTACCAGGGAAAAGGAACTATTGAACAGGATTTCTAACCAATCCTGTAGGCTCTGAAGCAGTGGTTCTCAACCTTTCTAATGCCGTGATCCTTTAATACAGTTTCTCATGTTGTGGTGATCCCCAACAATAAAATTATTTTTTGGTTGCTTCATAACTGTAATTTTGCTACTGTTAATGAATTGTAATGTAAATATCTGTGTTTTCCGATTGTCTTAGGCTTTACAGCAGCAATTCTCAACCTGTGGGTCAAGAACCACTAGCAGGATTGCTTAAGACCATTGGAAAACAAAGATATTTACATTACGGTTCATAACAGTAGCAAAATTACAGTTATGAAGCGACAAAAATAATCTTATGTTTGGGGATCACCACATGAACTGTATTAAAGGGTAGTGGCATTAGGAAGGTTGAGAACCACTGCTCTAGAGCAAGCATGTCAAACTCAAAAGCCAGCACGGGCCAAATAAACAAGGTTTAAGTTTCTGTGGGCTACAAGAAAAACACAAAAGCTTCAATTTTCATAGAAACATAGGTTTATTTCAGTAGAGACATACTGAATACAAAGAGCTAAATAAAAGTAATTGTTAAATGAAAATAGAACATTTTAATAAAAATATTTTCTTGAACATTAATTTACCAGACGCTGAATAACTGCATAAATTAATAAACGTAAGGCAGCCAAGACTGGTTTGGCTCAATGGATAGAGCGTCGGCTTGGGGACTGAAGAGTCCCGGGTTCGATTCCGGTCAAGGGCATGTACCTTGGTTGCGGGCATATCCCCAGTAGGGGATGTGCAAGAGGCAGCTGATCAATGAATCTCTCATCGATGTTTCTAACTAGCTCTCCCTCTCTGTACAAAATCAATAAAATATATTTAAAAAATAAAATGTAAGGCAAATAAGCCTATTTTTCTTGTTCTTCAAACGTGAAATATTTCCTGTGACACATATCAAACAAATCAGTCCAAGGCTCATGACATGGCAATTGGCTGCTAAAATATTCGCTGCTAGTATTAGTGGAGAGAAATGGTGTGCCTACATATAAGGCACGTAAAGGAAATGAATGCAACACGATTATAGTAATCAGTCATTATTGAACATTGTAGTTCGTTATTAATAACTATAGACCCGATGTGTGAATTTGTGCATGGGTGGGGTCCAGCTGGCCCACCCCAATGGGGCCAATTGGGCTAGGCCAGTGGGAGGAGGGGCCACCCCCGTAATGGGGCCAGTTGGCTGGCCGCAGTGCACATCATAGTAACTCGTCATTTTGGCGTTCCAGTCACTTGGCTTTTATGGAGAGAGACCAATAGCACAAAAGTCATGTGTAGGGAAGGTCTCCAGACCTGACTGGCAATCAGGGCTGATCAGGGCCTTCTGGCTGCCAGCCAGGGCTTTTCTTCAGTTCACACCGCCCCCTGGTGGTCAGCGCACGTCATAGCGAGCAATTGAACTCCCCAGGAGACTATTTGCATATTAGGCTTTTATATAATTTATGTAAACAGGCAATGAGAGGAGATTAAAAATGGTAGCAGAGTAAGTGGATGCAGCACGGACATGCTCCCAAGAACAAACTGGTATTACAACTAAAATGAAGAAAAACCTGAACAATCCATGGAAAACTTGCAGGAGAGAACCCTGATACCCGAGGACCGGAAGTGGAGACCGCATGGAGACTGGTAGGAGGGAGGAGAGGAGGCTCGAAAGGGCTGGCCGGGCAACCACAGACAGCAACTGAAGTTCCGAAGAGATGTCTCAGGTTGCCACTGAGAACTCTTGAGATCTAATCCCCAAGCTGGGTCTCCCAACAGAGATCACCAAACCTGAGGAGAGTAGCCATATAACATCTGACTGTGAAAAGCCACCGGGTGCTGTCTGCCAGGGAGTAACAGCTCAATTCTCAGGCACCCCCTAAAGGACCAACGCACAAAATTCCCATTGGAGCCACCCAACCTTGTGCTCTGCAGAGGGAGGGTGAAATGGACTGCAGCTGGGAGAGCAGAAGCCAGGATTGGGAACTTGGGGGGATAGAGTTCCGAAGGCAGACACCCCACGTGTCCTGGGCTGAGTCACTCCCTCACACAGCGGAGGCCATCTCATTCTTCCCTCTGTTTACCAGGCTTCCTATTGGTGTCTGGTGCCCAGGAATATCTGCTGGATTAAAAGGCAGGGCGCCTAAGCAGCCGCGATAAGGTCTGACAACACTCCATGTGCGTGTCCAGAGTTCCAAAATCAACACCTGGAGCAAAAACTGCATTCGCTCCATCCATCCTTCAACATCCCGGGCAGTCCAGCACGCAGGTTCCGGGGCTCTTTATTTATCCCACGGTAATCCTACGCTCCAAAAGAACAAGACGTTCTTTCAAATGGAGAGCCATCTGGTCCAGCTGTACCGAAAAAAGGAAACTGAAGCGTCTGGAGCTGTTTGGGCCTCGGAACCAACAACCAGCCTGGCGGCGCACCTGGCCCAGAGGCAGGGCCCGCAGCCACGCGCCTGCCCGGCTCCCACACCACGCCCAGCGCCCACGCCCAGCGCCCTGGGCGGCCACCTGTCCCCGGGCCCTGCCTGCCGAGTCACTGACTCGCCCACGGCCCGCCCTCCGCCCGTCACTCAGACGGCCCGTCCAATGGGAGCGGGGCAGGGCGGGGCGGGGCGGGGCGCGGCCTGAGGCGGCCGCGGCGGAGCTTGTGGCGTCAATGCGCCGCTGTGTCCATGGAGAGAGGCTGAGGCATCTGAGCTGCTGCGGCCCAAACCATCAGGGGCCCCGGGACGGCCAGGATGTCGGCTTCGTTAGTCCGGGCCACCGTCCGGGCTGTGAGCAAGAGGAAGCTGCAGGCCACCCGGGCCGCCCTCACCCTGGTGAGTTTCCGGGCGCACGGCCTGGCCCGTGACATTGGTTCACCTCCGCTCCGCAAGGGGAGGTCGGGGCGGCGGCGTGCGCTGCCGGCCGGCCCGACGGCGGGGCCCCAGCCCGCTCCACAGCTCCGAGTCCTCCACCCAAGGCCCACCCCCCCCCCACCCCCGTCCTTGCTGGGAAAACAGGTCCGGGAGGGGCTGCCCCTCCCGAGCCTGCGCCCCCCCCCCTGGGACTACGTTTCCCATCGGGCCGCGCGCCGCGGGGGGGAGGGGCGCTGTGCGTGTGTGCGTGACCCCGAGGTCGCCGTCGGCGCGGCCCGCCCGCCGCCCGGGATCCCCCGGGGGCGCCTTGGGGGTGCTGTGCCTGAGGCCGTGGGTTTGGAGGTCGAACGGGACAGGCGCGGGGCAGAGCTGGGCGAATACACCAGAATCTACCCGTGAGGTGTGGGGGGACGGAAGCCGGCGGGCGGACCTCGGTGTCAGCGGGTGATGGGCCGAGTGCGCTCCCCACAGCCCACCCCCTCTGGCTCGGACGGAGGCTGCAGGGCACCAGGGGTCACTTCCTGGTGCTGGGCGAGCGGAGGCTTTTTGGAGCACCCTGCGAGCTCAGGCCGTGCGAGGCCGCCTACAGAGAACAAAGGAGGAGCGAGATTTCCTTCCCCGGGTTTGTTTACAGCCTTTTCTGGGTGAAAGGTCTGACATGCGCAGGGGGCGCCGGCGTGCACCCTCAGGCGCCCGAAGAATGATGCAGCGTTCAGGCCGACCCCCGACGCTGGCTGGTTGCAACCGGAGGAAAACTCACGGAGCATGAACCAGTTTAAAGTGTTCAATTCAGCGACAGTACATTCACAGCATTCTCCAGCCATCATTTCTACGTAGTTCCAAAACGTTTCATCCCAAAAAGAAAACCCTGTCGTGTGCGTTTGCAATGTGGGGAGATGAATCCCATTGGAAAGCTAATGATCAGTGTCCTTCTCACACACACCTCCCTCTCTTTAAGGAGAAGGCTTTGTTCAAGTGTTTGTCACCCAGATACTAGGAAAATGGGTTGCTGTATTTAGGTGGAATCGTGGACCTAGTCATTAATTATACATAAGTTTCTTGGAAAGGCATGGGGTTCTTGAGAAATGCAGTGAAGTGGGAAGGCTGCTAGCTTGCAGCCTGTTGTTGAGTTGAAGTTTTTGTGCTATTTCCCCGGTTGGTTTTTACTTACGTGCAAAGTTGCTGACGTGTGCAAAAGGATTTAGAGCAAAGTGGGCCCGTGAAGCTTCTGCCAGGAAGTTTTCTTTTAGTCCCAAATGTCCCCTGTTTAGTCATTCTGACCTGTTCTGAAAATCAGATCCGCCGCTTGGAAAGTTACAAGAACCATATCTTTCCCCCTAAATGGGTATTAAACTAAGGTATCCGTCATTAGTAGCACTTCTCCCAATGGAGTTTATTTGGGATTTGCCTGACACAGAAAAATTGAGGGTTTCTCTTTTTACTAAGAGTTGAGAAAAAAAGAAAAGATGTTATTTTGTAAAACTTAATTAGGTCACTTAGAAAGTCACTTGGAGATAAAAACCCTGGGGCTTGTTGACAGCTAAGTGAACAGACCCCTCCCTTGAGTTTTGTTTACTTCATGCATGGGCGTGCTCTCTACACCTCTGACCCACCAGCTTTACCCAAGCTTATACCTTGGGTTGTACTTGCAAAGAATATTTTCCCATGGCTGTGTCTTTTTTGTGCAACTTGTCAGCTGTCTTTGGCCTTTTGACAGTAATTCGAGTAAGTTCTTCAGGCCTCGTGGGAAGTATGACCATAAAAATTATGCAAGCTAAGTTTTTATTTTCAGTCATTTAGAAGGGCAAATGAACACTTTAAATTTTTTTCATTAATATTTCTGTGAGGTTGGAATGCTGTGGTTTCCAAAGTCAATAAAAGCCATAATTCTTCCTGTCAGCATTTCCTTCTTTCTCCCCCTGGGTACTGTCTTGTTGAGCTGCTTTCCTCCTGTTAGGATAAAATCGTGAGAAAGGGCCTTTATGGACACTGGTAGTGATTTAATTTTTTTTTTCCAGTGACATTGGTAGTCATTTATGGACACTGATAGTAATATGTTTTGTTTTTACAGTGATACGCATATATATATATATATATATATATAATATTTTAATAACTGAAATCAAAGTTTCACTGCACATTTATTTTTATCAACTGCAATGCATGTTTTCTATTTTATGTTTGCTTTCTGTGTTTTAAAAATGCTAGTTTTGATCTTCTGGATTGGTTCATGACCTTTCTAATTTGGGTGCAGACTTTGCTTCACCATCCTTATGTGCCTGGGTCCCCACGGGGCAAAGCAGAACAGCATCCTCTGGGGCCACCCATGGGTCTGCTCCCGCGGTACAAGCTTGAGTTCTGGCCAGAGCTACTGCCCCGTCTCCGGTCATTATGTCTTTGGGGTTTCACAAACCATGAGAATGTCAGTGCAGAAAACTGGAGGACCAGCACAGCATTGCCAACTATTGGCGCTAATAAAGTAGGAAGAACATGATTTCGTCATTACAACAGCTGGCTTATACTTGCCACTGCTCTAAATGCTCTTCATGAATCCTGAAGAAGAGGGACTGTTAATCCCATTTAAGCCAAGTAAGGGCCTGGGACACAGCTAGGAGGTAGACCAGGAAAGCCCTGGCACAGACTTTGTCCCTAACAGCCTCCTCCTCAGGAAAGTGCAGTCAGTGATACACCTGCAGTACGTTGTGATGTTTTTCTTATTTTGAGGATCGCTGGTCTAGGTTAAAAGCATTTCTCAAAAAAAAAAAAAAAAAAAAAAACTCCTCTCTGTTCTTGTTTCTATTATTCGTTAGCTTAGATACCCTGAAATACTGACGTAAGCCAACTTTAACGTTGTTTTTAATATATTTATTTCAGAGAGAGGGAGGAGAGCGGGATGCCCTCCTACTGGGGATCCAGCCCACAACTTGGGCCTGTGCCCTGACCGGGAATTGAACCTTAACCTCCCGGGTTGATGCTCAAGCACTGAGCCACACTGGCCGGGCAGGCCAACTTGAGTATCTGAACACTTGGTGGGAGGGGATGGGAGACACACTCCGGGTCATTTGGTGACAGTAGCACTCTTTTATCTAGGTATGCATTCTATTGGATGGAAACAGATTTGGGGTGAGCAAAAAAAGCAATGGAGTTAATAATCAGCAGGAAAAATGCCCGAAAGTTGGCTTTCCCAGGAGTTAATTTGATTCATTCATTGGCTGGTGAGCGCCTTCTGTGTGTCAGGCAATGTGCTTATTGCTGGGCATACAGTAGGAGCACAAAATAGATGCTGCCCAGAAAGAATGCATTTGTGGTGTACGTAGGTAATATCATACAGATCATGACAGGGAGTGGACCTTTGCTGGGGGGAGCAAGATGAAAAGGCTGTTGCTAGAAGACGTTTTAAAAATAAAGAGAATGATTAAGCCCTGGTTGGTTCAGTTGGTTGGAGCATTGTCCCATTCTCTTCCCAGTCATGGCACTTACCTAGGTTGTGAATTCAATCTTTTGTCCAGGTGCATATGGGAAGCAACCAATCCATGTTTTCTCTCTTCCCTTCCCTTCCCTCCCCTTCCCTTCCCTCCCCTCCCCTTCCCTTCCTTTCCCTTCCCTTGTCTTGTCTTGTCTTGTCTTGTCTTCTCTCTTTCTCTTTCTCTCTCTCTTGAAAAATCAGTGAAAGCATTTTCTTAATGAGGATTAAAAATAAATAAAAATAAAAATAATTACTTTAAGTACAGTTCATATGTTTGTGTATAAAATCCACAAGGTACTCTGATGAGAATGGAACAAGACTAGAAAATACATAAGACTTTAAAAAATGCAAATTTTGTAGCTAAAAACTTAACATTTTATTTTTCAGACACCTTCAGCAGTAAACAAGATAAAACAACTTCTTAAAGATAAGCCTGAACATGTAAGTAAAACCAGTCAAATACTTAGTAAAAAATGAAGTTGTATTTTCACAGTGAATTCCATGCTTCTATTAATTAAGGGTTAGTTTATTTGAGCCAAACTGACAACATAAGCCAGGGACCAAGATCTCAAACGTTCCCTAAATCCACGTAATACAACAGGATTCTCAGTGAAAAGGAAGTCACTCTCTTACCCCAGGCACTTCATCATCATTCTCCTTTTAAGAGGCAACTTCTTAGTGTTCTTTGGAGATAATCTGTACGTTTTATTTACCTAGGGCCGGGTTTCCCAGCTTCAGCACTGTGGTTTTGGGCTGTGTCATTCTTTTTTGGATTTAGATTGCTGGATGTTTATTTGTCAGCTCTAGCCTTGCCAGTGACTCCACTTTACCCCTCAATTGTGACAACCAGAAATATTTCCCTGAAAGGAACCACTGGCCTCAACTCTGTTAAGCTTGTGTGTGTATTTCTTCTACTTAGGTGAGAGCATACCACATATGCTGTAGTTACACTTTGCTTTTTGCCCCTAATGAAATAGCCTAAAGATCTTTTCCTATCTACCTATCTATCTATCTATAATAATAAAAGCATAGTATGCTAATTTGACCAGACAGCTGAACAACTTTCCAGATGATGCCGGGGCTGTGAGGACCAAGGCAAACTGCTGCAGCAAGCTGCCACGCTGCAAGGGAAAAGCCCCTTGCACAAATTTTGTGCATCGGGCCCCTAGCGTATATTAAAGCCTAAGCAACCAGAAACAACTGGCTGGTAACTATGAATCGCACTGACCCAGACCTTGCTGTTGGGGCCCAGACAGCCCCAAATCTGGTTCACCCGCACCTCAGACCCAGACAGGAGGTAGGAGGGAGCCCAATTTCTCTTAGATGGGCTGTTAGTTAACTTGCTGCTGGGACCAACCTCCCGCAGCCAGTTCTCACCCCGGCCAGTCTCTCCCTCCCTCTCTCCCCATCCGCCCCGACTGCCAGCCAGGCCGAGGGACCCCACCCATGCATGAATTCGTGCACCCGGCCTCTGGTCTTTACATAAAGATCCACCTCCTTGTTATTCCTGGCTGCATTTAATAGTAAAATCCATTGAACAAGTTTGATTTATTTAACCAGATCCCCCATATTAAAGTTTTTTTGTGTTGTTTTCATTCAGTGCTGCCACAGACATCATTCAACAAATATGTAGTGTCTGTAGTATACCAAGCTCATTGATCTAGGCCTGTAAGCGTAGCTTAGTGCATGTACACAGGCTTTATTCCTAGATGTGGAATTGATGAGTAAGGGTACATAATCTTAACCTTATTGCATCACTAATTGCCTACAGAATACTGTAAATTACTCCCAAGACTGTTAACATTTACTGATTAGACTATAGAGTGGTTTCTAGATTCCATTGTACAACGTCCCATTACAATGGAGTTCTAGCTCCTTCCTGCTACCGTATGTCAGTGTTCCATCTCCCTTTGGATACACTAGAGTAGAAATGACTAGAGTAGAAATTGACCAAATGAAACAAAAATTAACTTTGTAGATTTGTTCATGGTGACATGAAAAGAATTGAGCAAACACTTCATCAGATATCACTGTGGCAAAGTCAGTCCCTTTTCCAGATTCCAGTTACCTAAAGCTGTACTTTCAGAATGGGTTGGAGTTCCTGCTTGCTAAGTTAAATACTATGCCCTGAGCTGCAGAACTTCAGCTAGACAATTTATTGTGTATTAATCATACTGAGGATATTAAACTACCTCCAAGACTCTCTAAACTGGCACTCGGAAGGTGAATAAATCCGTGGCGCTGTCTTCTTGCTGTTATTTGAAGACAGAAGAGACTAATCTGAATGTTTCCGCTCATCAACACTCCCAGACAGCTTGACATTCTAACCCACACTTTTCACCAGTGTCTTCCTACTTCATGATCGCTTTCCGAAAGCAAGCAAAGGTTGCTGCTTTTCCGAGAATCAACATCTGCTTAGTGAAATATTTCGTATGATGATACTCTTGTTATATACATAAATGAAAAAGCAGTTAGGATCCAAGAATAGAAATTCTGTAGACATTGTTAGAAAATTGCAGTAAGGTAGACATTGGTATTTTAAAAGTGCTATTTGGTCACTTTTTAAATTTCTTACATTTCTGTTGGCATCAGTCTTTTGCTTCCTGGTATTTGAGAGTGTTGACACAGCTCTGCCGTAGAATGAAGGCCCTGTTAGAGGCAGCATGATTGTGGACCTTGGCGAACACAACCATAGGGAACACCTCACATGATGAGGTGGAGCAGTAGTATTTTTGAACAAGTTCAGTTACTTTCCTTTACAATGTTATCCCCAGAGACTATAGTTTGGGTTTTACCCCCTCTGTATTGTTTCTTTGAATATAATTAGTTTTTATTCTTTTGGGGCCACCCTTTAGTGTCATGATGGTGTTTGTACATAAGTAAAAATTTAAAACACTTGCTTCCCATCCCACTTATACTTGCTAAAGGGCTATTTTATAATCAGAAATCTAATATATATCTTTTAGCTTATGAAAAAGTAAATAATATATATCCAGGACTTTTAAAATATGATTGTTTAATCTGTACTATGTTAAAATTGAGTTTATATTTACAATTGTTTTTCAGGTAGGCGTGAAAGTTGGTGTCCGAACCAGAGGTTGTAATGGCCTTTCTTATACTCTAGAATATACAAAAACTAAAGGAGATTCTGATGAAGAAGTTGTTCAAGATGGTGAGTATTAAACTTTTTTGGGCACTTTGTTTTGCCTAAAATGTTTCTCCTTATATAGCATGAAAAGTAAAAATAACAGTAGGGATGGCATATATAATGTTCACTATGAGGTAGACATGGTTTGAGAGACTTTCCAAATGAGAATGATACCACATTGTCCCCATTTTGCCGGTAAGAAAAACTGAGGCACGGAGAGATTAAATAATTTGTATAGTGTCACAGAGCTAGTAAGTGGCCTGATGAGCATTTGAATCCAATCAGATTTACGACAGAGGCTGTACTATGGTAGATTATTGGATAAATGTGTGTTTATTTGTTTCAATTATGAAAGCTTATTCTGTGCAAAAAAAAAGTTTTTAAGATTATAAAACTTCAAAATGAACCAACTGCTTTTGTGTGAAGTCGCAGTTTTACATATATGTCAAATAAGCAATGTCATCTCTTGCTTTTGAGGACTCTGTACTTTCAATTTTAATTGCCACATTAAAATTTCCAGGTCTTTAATTATATTTGCCCCCACTGCCTGCCCTTAAGCCTGTTTGAAACAAACAGTGCTACAGCTTTGGGGGAACTTCAATGCACATGGGTTTTGCAGTGGTGGCTTCATGCGTTAGAAGTGTGCTGTTGGCTAGCTTTCCTGGATTCCTAGTATGAGTTCGTTTTATTAAATTGAATTTACTAACCAAGAAAGGCATTTGTTGATATTTTATTTTTAAATCAGCACATAAACTTAAACCCTAAATTTTCATCTTAATGAAGAGGAGATCTAATAAATATGTATGGTTGTATTTAAATAATGACTCAATTTCTTATAAGGAAGAAAGCTTTCTTACACTGATGGTATTTATGAAGATGCTGTCTTCTGCTTACATAATTACTATGGGTTATGTATTTACCAGTTTTCTAGCCCATGCACAGAAGAACAGAATTGCTGCGTCTTAAACCAGCCCACTCTGCCAGTCTTTGGTGTGTCTCTAGGTGTGGCAATGTGTCATGTGTGCAGATGGCATTACAGGGTTTTCATAAATGTATCGTCTCCATCTTTACAAAATTCACTGAATGTACATATTTTCTTTGTGTTGCAAATTTGAAAAATGGGTTAAATATAGTGAAAGGCAAATTCTAGTTTTACATAGACTTGTCATGGAATTTGCTTGGGTACAACTTTCTGACCTAATACAATTGTTTTTTACATAGGTTATTGTGTAGAAAGGGGACAGGAAACTCCCTGACTCCCTTAAAGGAAACAATGGGAGATTCAGGAGCGCCCTGTTTGGGTTTTGTCGGTGTACTATTTAAAGCTTACTTGAGCCGTGGCTCGGCAGGCTCTGTTGGTGTGCAGGCTTGATATGACGTGTGTTTTCTTCTCCCCAAGGAGTCAGAGTGTTCATCGAAAAGAAAGCACAGCTAACACTTTTAGGAACAGAAATGGACTATGTTGAGGACAAATTATCCAGTGAGTTTGTGTTCAATAACCCCAACATCAAAGGAACATGTGGCTGTGGAGAAAGCTTCAATATTTGACTCCTCAGGACTGCTCTGGCTGTACGCTCCAGGAAAGCTGTGGAAGAACTCGTGACTGTCACGTGCTTAAGGTTGACAATGCATGGCTGCCTTACGAGGAAAATAAACTGACGAATTTTGAAAATGAAGCCAGTGTGTTAGATTTCAGAAGTGGTATCTGTCTTCTTTTTTAGGGGACAGAATATGAGAAGCCATCACTCTCTTTGGGTCATTTTTCTGATCTGGAAAGAAAAATAAATCCTGCCCTGAACTTAATTCTCTTGCATCCTTTCTGTCAGAACCAGTTTTACAGAAGGTGCCGGCCTGGGTGGGTTTCGGGAAACACATTCTTAATAGGTGTGCACTCTGTGTCTCCGTTGAATGTATTGAATGTGCATCTCTAGGCCAGGTTGATGGTTCTTAAAATTCAGAGGCAGAAAGTCCTGACTGCTAGGTTGACATGGTGGTGCTTGGTTTTTTTACCCAAACTTGGCTCAGCCTTTCTACATTTTTATCCAAAATGTCATTGTCAGATGCCTCATTTCCTTACCCTTTAGCAGCATCAGCCATTAGATGCAAGTGTCAAAGATTTCCTCGAAATACAGTGCAGAATGGTTTTGAGTGATGGCATCAAAAGGTAAGAAATACTTCGCCCACCATTTTTCATCCATTTTCTTTGCCACTCTCAACATCTGCTGAAGGTGAGATCTCAAGCTGACTTAGATCCTTTCATTTGAAAGGTCTCCAGAAGCCATCTAGCCCACCCGCTCAGTTCTATTCCTTAGGAAGCAAAACCCCAGGGAAGGAGGAGGGCTTGTGCCCACCTGCACATACAGAGTGGGGACCACTCAGTCTCCCCTTCTGTGCAGGTGACAGGCCAGGCCTGGAGCGCCGAGGCAGGCATCAAAGGTAGAAGATCAATCAGGCTTCCTAGCTGAATGACGTTTTGATAAGATTTCTGTGTAATTTGATGGAGATCATATTTTTATTTTGAGTGAAAAGGATCTTATTTGTAAACCCCTCTATGTGAATGACCATGTTGCTTCTTTCTAAGTATGAAGCAGTGGTTTATACCTGCAGGGAAGACGTGGTAACCCAGAGCACCCTTTTGGGATGTAGTGAGTGTAGCAAAGCACAGGATTATCCTAAAGTTCCCAGGATGCATACACTTCCTGGGTCCTAAGTCCAAGTGCTAACATTTTTAAATCTTAATATTTTAACCCAACATTTTTGTCACCAATTTTTCTCTTTAACAGTGTTCCTTTTGTAATTTAATTCTCAATTTTCCTGAGCTTGACATATTGTTTTATGAGATGCCATATGCTTTAAAAAAAAAAAAAAAAAAAAAAAAAGCCAAGTCTTATGAATTGAAGTAGCTAAGTTCCTTGAAATGTGTCATATTTACAAAAGTACCTGTCACAAATTGCACCAAAACCTAGAGCAATTGCTTTATGCTCATGAGTTTGTATTAATATAATTGTCAACCCACTTATAATTTGTGCAATACTGAATGTATGTAGTAATTTGAGTTGTCAATAAAAAAAATGTGGCCTCTCTGTGATCATGAAATTGCCTTTTCTTTTTAAGGAAGATGGGTTTGGGAATAATAACTGTGATAGCTACTTATGAATAGTTGCCATACTTTTCCTGCTGCCAGAACGTTCTCCACCTGATGCTGTTACGTTTCAGTTGCTGGGTTCTTCATGACTCAACCATTTCCAGTTGCTCTTGGCTCCACAGTCCTCCATATTCCCTTTTTTCACACTATCTTTCTCCCCGTCTCACTTTAAGGATCATCCACATCATCAAAGCTGCTTCTCCAGCCTCCCACACAGATTTCTTTCAGGCATTCTCTTCTGTCATCTTCCCTACCGGGAATGCTTTCTCAGGGCTGTCTTCCGAGTTTTGTGTTCATCTCCAAAAAGACTCTTAACAGTTCGCTTCAGGCATATTCATGAGCACCTGCTCTCCACTCACCCTGAGATTTTACAGATGACTAGTCTGTCTCTGGCCTCTAAGATCTTCGAGTTGACAAATGAGGCAGACACCAGTAAAGAAAATATGCTAAGTGTTGCTCATAGCTAACGTTTATTACAGACTTGCTACGTGCCCAGGATTGTTCTAATATAATCTTCACAACACCGTGAAGTAGGCCTGACTCTGTCTTCTGCGTAGAGAGAGCCTGAAGCACATAAAGTAGTTGGCTAAGGTAACACAGGACGTGGCTAAGTTGATGACAGCCCATGGCATCTGGCTCCAGCCCCAGGTCCCTAGCAGCGAGGCCACAATGCATGTCAAAACAAGTGCATTCGGAAGTATCAGCTGGACTGCCCCTCGGAGCTCGGAGCAGGCTGTGTGATGAGGCAGAGCGCAGGAAGCCACTGCAAAACCAAGCAGGACCTGTGAGGAAGGCTAAGGTGAAATCAGTGCGACTCCATGAACAGACCCACCGACAAGGCCATGATTTTGCGCCTCTTGGCTGCCCACACCAGCAAAACTTGTTCTGGTATTTTTTTTTTTTAATATATTTTATTGATTTTGTACAGAGAGGAAGGGAGAGAGATAGTTAGAAACATCGATGAGAGAGTCATCAATCAGCTGCCTCTTGCACACCCCCTACTGGGGATATGCCCGCAACCAAGGTACATGCCCTTGACGAATCGAACCCGGGACCTTTCAGTCCCCAAGCCGACGCTCTATCCATTGAGCCAAACCGGTCTCGGCTTGTTCTGGTATTTTTTATTTTTGTTTGTCTCTTGCACAATATTGAAAGGATCTTGACAGGAGCTCTGTCAATTCTCTTTGCTATTCACTTAACACCAGGCACAACCTAAGTATTTTTGCAAAATGATTCCGACAGCTGTTAGGAGCCATAACGTGTTCTGTGTCCTATTCATCCAAGCTCCACTCCAGACCCCAGGCGTCCTGAGTGGCAGACCATCAGCTTTGTGGAGGGTTCTTGATGCAGAAGCAGAGCCAGAACCAGTGGATTGCCACAATAAAAGCCCACTCTTCCACATCCTGCTAATTGGACGGCTCGGGCCACTGTGGCTGAACACCCCGTGAGACGGTAGTGCTGCTGGGCCACCCTGCCACGCAGCGTGCCCCTGCCCTCTGTCTCAGGACCACAGTATGGTGGTTATTCTCAACAAGGAAAGGGTGGAGCGGGGTTGGAAAATTCCCTACAAGATCAGATGTTCCTCACATTCCTAGGTTTCACTTAGCAGGAAATACCTTTAAAACAAAACAAAACAAAACAAAACAAAAAACCAGCTTCTTGTCTAGTTGTGGTGCCTCAGAGATCAGGAAATGCAAAGCCTGTGATGTTAAGCCGCCTGGCCCTTCCCTGCCACCTAACACCCTACAGAGCTTTTTTAACTTTTTTTAAAAATTACCTTTCCACCCTAACCAGTTTGGCTCAATGGATAGAGCATCGGCTTGCGGACTGAAGGGTCCCAGGTTCGATTCTGGTCAAGAGCCACGTACCTTGGTTGCGGGCACATCCCCAGTAGGAGGTGTGCAGGAGGCAGCTGATTGATGTTTCTCTCTCATCCATGTTTCTAACTCTTCATCCCTCTCCCTTCCTCTCTGTAAAAAAAATCAATAAAATATATATATATTAAAAAAAATAAAAATAAAAAGTTCCTTTCCATCCTCCACTCTCTACCCACTTCCCTCATGCAGGAAGACAATCCCCTGGCCCTTAATGTTACACAGCTGTTTATGTGGCTTTGAGGATGTTCCTATGTCACAATGGACAGGCACTCATTTACTCAAAACTTAGCTGAGCATTGGGGAGATGTCAGGCACCCTCCTAGACCATGAGGCCACTGGATGAATGGAACCCAGCCCCTGCCCCAGGCACACAGACTCATGACAGAAATGGCCATATACACGGGTGATTACTAAGCAGGTGTTAATGACATGAAAAGCACAAAAAGTGAAGAGGAAGCCAGTATGGGCTTGGCAAGGAGAGGCGGGGGGGGGGGGGGGGGGGGGGGTTGGAGGGGGCCATGAGGGGGAGTTAGGGTTAGGGTTAGGGGATGTGTGTGAAGTGGGTAGTGGGGAGAGAGGCAGGAAAAGCCAAAGCCAAGAGAGGAGGTGGTGGCTGGGAGACTGTCCTTCCTTCCAGGAGATCCCAGAAAGCCGGCCCCAGCCGGCGGGGACTGTGCCTGTACAATCTCCCTCTTCCTTCGGGGCCTTCTCCACGAACAGCCCTGCCTTCTCCCTGCATGTCTGTGCCTCTTCCTTCTGCGCCACATTCCCACAGATGCATGGCCCTGGCTTGGCTCTGCTCCCCCACGCCTGGCGTCCCTCCTCCTCCTTCTCCCTACATCCAGCCTTGAGCGCCTTGGAAAAGATGAGAGCCACGTGTGGAGGAGATGGGAAAATAGTGGAGAGCTTTCTCGTCCCCTCCCCAGAACCAGCACCTGGGGACAAGCAGAATGGCGCAGGATTTCTTCACACTACTCAGGACAGCACGCAGTTTGACGCATAAGTTGTTTATTTCTGGAATTTTCTGCTTACTATATTTGGACCACTGTTGACCAGGGATATCTGAAACCACAAGAATGTGATCTTTCAATCTAGAGATTAAAATCTTTAATTCCAGGAAAACCTTCTTGAATTTTAATTTTAAATTTTTTTCTTTTCCGGGATTTTGTTTTTCCTCTCTTTGGGATATCCAATTAAATCTGTTATAGCTCCTTAGCCCGACTTTTATACCTACCATTTTCTCTCTAAGTCATTCTAAACATTTTTATTGAAAAATAGTTTATATACCAAAAACTCACCCACTCCAAGTATACAGAGCAACCCACTCACCATCACCACAATCAGCTTTAGGACATTTGCATCACTCCCAAAAGAAACCCCATACAATTAGCAGTCATTCCCCATTCCTTTATGCACCCAGATTCAGGCAACTACTAATCTACCTTCTGTCTCTATAGACTTGCTAATCCTATATATTTCATATAAATGCAATCATACAATATCTGGCCTTTTGTGGATGGCTTTTTTTTTTTTTAACTTAGCATAAATTTCCAAGATTTATCATATTTCATTTGTCATCACTAAACAGTATGCTACTATATGGATGCACCACATTGTGTTTATCCATACATCAGGTGAAGGGCACTAGGGTTGTTTTCACCTTCTGGCTGTTAAGAATAGTGCTACTATGAACAGTCATGTACAAGTTTTTGTGTAGACGTGTGATTTCTCTTAGATCTATACCTCGGAATGAATCTTCTGGTTATATGGCAGCTCTATGTTTGACATTTTGAGGAATTGCCAAACTGTTTTTTCAAAGTCACTGCACCATAGAAATGTAGGAAGGTGCCAATTTCTCAAAATCCTTGCCAACAACCATTATTACCTGTATTATAGCCATCCTAGGGAGAGTGAAATGATAGCCAACTGTTGCTTAAATTTGCATCTTCATGATAGCTAATGACGTTGAGCACGTTTTCATGTTTTGGTGGCCATTTGTATATCTTCTTTGGAGAAATCTCTATTCAAATCTTTTGCCCATTTTTAAGTTCATTTATTTGTATTTTTACTGTTGAGTTGTGATCTTTGTATATTTGAATATGAATCCTTTATCAGATATTATGGCTTGTAAATGTTTTCTCCCATTGTGTGCATTGTCATTTTCCCTTCTCCATAATGTCCTTTAAAGCACAGAAGTTTCATTTAATGAATCCCAATTTATGTATTTCTTTATTCTTTTTGCTTCTGATTTCGGTTGTATATCCAAGAAATCCTTGCCTAAGCCAGATCACGAAAGTTTATTCCTATGTTTTCTTCTAGGAGTTTTTTTTTGTTTTTTTTTTGTTTTTTAGTTTTTCACTCTTCTATTATGGTCTAGGATACATTTTAACGTAATCTGTGTATGGATTAAGGTAGGAGTCCAACTTCACTCTTCTACACGTGGATATCCAATTGTCGCAACACCATTTATTAAAAAAAAAAATTATTTTTCCCACTGAATTGTCCTAGCCACCTTATTTCTATTTCCTGTTCCAATTTTGCTTTTGTTTGCCACAGTAGCTAATTATCATTATGCTTATTTCCATTTTCTCTTCAGTTCTATTATGTTCTTACTTAGACTGACATAAAGGGATATTAAACAAACATTCTGCTTGATTAAGTGGGGAGTCAGAGTGAACAGAGATGCGATGAAGAATGCATATGAGCACATATCATTGTTTCAGAAAAAAAATATGAATTGCCCCCACTGGCTGAAACAGAGAGAACATGTATGGCTTTGTGGTGACATAGAAATATGATTTGTCAATGTTTGAAATGTTGAGAAGCAAATTGTGGATAGTCTCTGTAAGTCTGGTCAAGAAATTTACATCTTATCCTAGAAGGAATAAAGAGCTAAGTTTGGCCGAAATCGGTTTGGCTCAATGGATAGAGCGTCGGCCTGCAGACTCAAGGGTCCAGGATTCGATTCTGGTCAAGGGCATGTACCTTGGTTGCGGGCACATCCCCAGTAGGGGGTGTGCAAGAGGCAGCTGATGATGTTTCTCTCTCATCGATGTTTCTAACTCTCTGTCCCTCTCTCTTCCTCTCTGTAAAAAAACAATAAAATATATATTTTTTTATAAAAAAGAGCCAAGTTTGAAGAATAAACTAATGAATGGCTGGATAAAGAGGTGGTTTAGGATAGATTATTACTACTGCTGTTGTTACTACTACTACTACTACTACTAGTAATAATAATAATAAAAATAATAACAGCAACAACATGCAGGCAAGAAAACCGGTAGGTGATCTTCGTAGCAGTTCAAAGATGAGGTCAGTTAGGCTTCTTATCAGAATCATTGCAGTGATTCTGATAAGAAGACTAGAGACGATACTTTTTAAAAATCAACTTCAAAATGAAAGGTTAAGAGTTAAGGTGGGTAAAAACTGCAACAGAATTGATTATTGAGAACTCACTGTTACCTTTAAGATTTCAATTTTGGTTCATCAGTCAGGGTAGAAGCTCAATGTTGTTATACTGAAGATTAGATTAGGAGAATATATAAAAAAAAAAAAATAGCAAGTACAGAGGTAAAGGCAAGCTAATACCAGCCTAGAGTCAAATGTGGGAGAGGACTTAGGTGCAACTTATTGAGGAGACCAATTATATAGGTTTTGTGGCCATTTTTAATCCTTCAAAAAGGGATTAAACATAATTCTATCTGTAAAATGCCTGCAATCATTTGTGGTCCAAAGCAAATAATTTCAAAATGTTAATTATTGTTATTATTGGCATTTTTCTTCCAATTAAAAAAAAAAATACTTTTCCTGGGTAAAGAAGTGTAAGTTTTTCTTTAAATTACCTGGAAAATCAAAAATATGTAAGACAAACAAAAATCTATATGGGACTCTTTGAATTAGTAATAAATGCCTGAACATATGTGTCATATAAGAATTTGAGGTGTCTCACAAAAAATATTCCATTGAAACATGATTAATTTGGCAGGCCTGAAGTAAGGAGAAAACAAAAGAAAAATTGTAATGGTATAAAATTTAAAGTGTTCCACTTATAAAGCGTAGAAGATTTTAAAAATGCTTCCCTCGCCCTAACTGATTTGGCTCAGTTGATAGAGCATTGGTCTGTGGACTGAAGGGTCCCAGGTTCAATTCCGGTCAAGGGCACATGCCTAGATTCCAGGCTCAATCACCAGGAGGAGGCGTGCAGGAGGCAGCCGATCAATGATTCTCTCTCATCATTGATGTGTCTCTCTCTCTCTCCCTCTCTGAAATCAATAAAAATATGTGGTTTTGGTTTTGTTTTGTTTTGTTTTTAAAGGTGTTACCCTCTCCTTTGTGTTTTATCAGACTTTTTGCTCTTTCATTTCATCTTTCTTCATCTTGATTCTTTAGGAAGTAGAGAGTAAAATCCCAGCACAATGTTCAGCACTAGAGACGATGATGCAAGCACAGATGATGTGGAGGCCGAGTTTCCCAGGTGTTCGGTATGTCCTCCCAGTGCTATAATATGCACAGGAAACTGTGCTTTCAAAAATTATAAGAACTATTAAGTACCTGGTGGCATTCCGTGGATGGGGGGCAAAGAGAACACAGACATGTCACGTCTGTGACTTCCCTTCCTTGGCACAGCAAAATACAGCTCCTCTGTGGGCAGGGGATCCTGAGTGCTGACTTGTGTTTGTGCTGTTGGTAATGCGTTCGAAAGAGCCATTGATCAACTCGGCCCACTTCCTATTTGTTGCTCTTGACTAGAATTGAAGGGAAACTGCACTGGGCTAAGTGACACAAGTTTGGGCTCCCACTTTGGCCTTTTTGGCCTTCCGATTCAATGACCTAAGAAACTTCTGGGGAAAATGGGATTAGCAGGCAGAATGCTCTAGAACAGTGTTTCCCAAAGTGTGGTACGCGTACCCCCAGGGGCACGGGAAGAGTTTGGTGGGGGTACGCATTGCACAGGAGTCTGGTGGGGATATGCACTGCACCGTGCTTAGCTGCACCTAATTCCACGTTCTCATGAGTACGAGGGGTACTCAGCGTTACAAAAATTATAGAAGGGGTACACAAATGTCAAAAGTTTGAGAAACACTGCTCTAGAAGATACATTTTATTCCTTTAATATAGGATTTTAGATAGAGAAGGGGGACACTTATTGTCTTTTCTGCCAACAATTCTTCCCAAACACTCCACAAATCCCAGCACAATGCTCACCAATTAGCCATTTGCTTTGGTAAAATATTCCAGTTAAACCGAGACCCGTTTAGCCGAGTGGATAGAGCATTGGCCTGCAGACTGAAAGGTCCCAGGTTCGATTCCAGTCAAGGGCATGTACCTTGGTTGTGGGCACATCCCCAGTGGAGGGTGTGCAGGAGGCAGCTGATCGATGAATTCTTTCTCATCAATGTTTCTAACTCTCTGTCCCTCTCTCTTCCTTCTCTATAAAAAATCAATAAAATATATATTTAAAAATATCCCAGTTAAAAAGGACAATTACACCTTTGATTGCAGTGTTCCTAAATATGCCAAGCCCCTCAGTCACCAGGATGAGGCTCTGATATCTAGATGATCTGACTCCATTTTTTTCTTAAAAAAAAAAAAATGTAGCCTCACCCATATCAGACTTTGCAAACTCCCACAATTGCGTCTCTCCATGGTAACTCACAGAATCATAGAGTTGGAAAGATCTTAAAGATTCTGGAAAGCGGGCTCATTTTGCAATGCAGCCTTTCGGTGATGTGTCTGAATACTACCTCTTTTGGGGAATGAGTCTGAGACTTGTCCCTCTGGTCTCTGTTCCGCATTGCCACCATTGACGTGGCTTAGCTAGGCAACCATGTCTTCCAAAGGTAGATGCTTCTGTATTTGCATGGCTGCTTGGTATGCTCTTGGTTTTTAGGGTTTGTGGATCTGCCAGGCAATCACCCACCATTCATCAGTCTCATGACTTCCCACTTCTTTCCACCCCCCCTATAGCTGCCAGAATTATATGCACAGGCTGAGAATGCTAATAAGGAGAGCAAAAAATCAAATCGCCTAAAAACTCTTGGTCTTTCGCCAACTGAAGCACGGAGAATACTTACTCAAATCCTGACTATCACTGGCAGAACGGATTTGGGAGAAGATTCCCAACCTGCTCTCAAGGACGAGGAGGTTAGAAGAAAGGAAGAGAAGCCACCATCGCTGACTGACCTCCTTCACCGCAGCTTACTGACCGGCTCGCCTTCTCATATAAGCAGGCTGGGGGAATCCAAGCAGAGACTTGCTCAGTATGGGATCCCTCCTCCCATGCACACTTTTCCCTCTGAGGTTATCCTCACTGACACCAACCTTTCAGGCACCGCACAAAAGAGGCTTGCGAGTACCGGGAAAGTACCCAAAATAAGCATTTCCAAAGTGAAGACAGACAGGTTTTTATTTGAAGATAGAATTACTGAATACTCAATCATAGAACCAGGTACGTTGAAAATGGTGGGAGGAAAAAGAGTGGAAATCTTACTAGAAAATGTGCCTAGATTTCTAGAGCTGAAAGTATCAACTATCGATCGATGGGAATAGTGGAGTTCTGATGCTCTGCTACATGTAAAATCAAAGGGAAATGGAGAACAGAGATTGACCAAACACTTCAGGCTCAAATCTCAGACTCATTCCCAAAAAGGTGCATTTAAACTTACTTTTCTAAAATGAGCCAAGTTCAGCTTGGACTCTAAAGCACCATAACTATTTGTTTATTGTTTCATGAAGTTAGTCAAGTATTTTCTGAATAATGACTTATCTTTCTTAAATATTTTGATTTTTTTCTTCAATTGAGGATGGGGTTGTTTGTTTTTTTTTAGATTTTTTTTTTTTCATGAATCTTTATTCTTTCCTATTGTTACATCTCTACAAAGAGAAGAAAACTCTCCAGTTCTGACACTTTAATAAGAAAGTACCCATAAAAGTCCAAAGACCATATGGAGAAAGTCAATAATATGTAAAACATATATTGGTAAGTTATAATGAAAAGAGCTATATGTGACCTTCTCAAATATTACCAAACAGGGAAGATGGTAAAATTACCAATGAGAAATAGACTTGCTTGCTTGCTTGTACCAATTATTCTCTTTAAACTCCTCAAACTCATGTTGGCTCTTTGGCCTCTGGTTTTACATTTAATCCCCTGCCTTAGGCCTTCCTTCCCTCCCCCTCCTCCGCTCCCCACTCAAGTTTACGATTTACTTAGTCATGAAAGGAATTGAAGGGAAGGGAAAGAGAAATGGCTGCTGAGTAGGGGAATAAGCAGTGTATCTTGGCTGTGGTTCATTGGCCTCTTGAAGAAATTGCAACTGCTAGTGACTGACCACACTGGTAGGTCTGAAAGAGAAGGGGAAAGAGCCAAATTCTAGCTAAGACACTGTACTCAGGGCTTATACCAGCATCTTGGAAGAAGTGACATTAGCAATGTAAATACTTCTGCTAAATCTCCCTCCTTGTTTCCACCACTCATTAGGATCCTGCCCCCTGTTGACCTCAGTGTTTTGCAGGTCTCGCCACTTGCACGTTCTTCATTTCCAAGCACCAAATGAGACACTTTCTCTACCCATTGTGACCCTGCAGGTTCCTTTCCAGCCCTGCTAGCCGAACCCCACCAAATGCATAAGATGGGCACCATAGGTTCCCACTTAGTTTATAAAGATGCAGAAAAGGCTTTCTACCAGAAAGGAGGAGACTCAAATTAATCAAAGGTTTATTCTGTCACAAAACACCTCCGACTCGCTGAAGGCTAAATGACACCATGTGATTCTTTTCAGAAAAACAATTCTTGGACCTGAGGGATCTGGAGTGGAAATATTACAAGGGGATCACAAAGTGGAAGCACAAAACTTCAGATGCATTTACAAAAATACAGTATAACAGTGAGAAGAGGTTTGTAGAGAACAAGGAGACACCTACTATTGTTTTCCCCTCACTAGTTCGTAGGTCTTTGGTCATTTATCCTAAAGTTAATTTCCCACCAAATTTAACCTTGTAAGTGAAATATGTAGTTTATTGAAAATATTCTGGATGTATATTTTGCTTTTAAAATTTTTTAATTTACACACCAAGATTTAAGAAGCAGATGTACCATGGAACATAGACCTGATTCTATATGATATGCACATAAGGTCTAAGATTAAAAATCCACCCTGACCTTCTAGGGTGTATAGAAAGGAGAACACACGTGAGAATAGCTCTATAAGATTTTTTAAGTACATGAAAAGTCCACTATCATAAAAATAGTTGCTAAACTCAACAAATGGGAAAATTAACACCTGAGGCTATAGAGGCAATTTGAGAATTTCAAAATATGTTAACAGCTCCAAGACATGAGGAAGGAAATAGCATTTATGAGACAAGAGTGGGAAGATTTTAAGAAGAACAAGTTGGAAATCTTAGAAGTGAAAAACATAGTAATTGAAAATAAAGCAATGACAATCCTCAATAAATTATATCAATGGTTTACTGGATCTATCTGAAAAGAGAAGGGATTAATGTGTTGGCAGGTAGCACTGAGAAAGAAGTTTCCAGATCACAGCACAGTAAGATAAAGGAGGAAGTTATAAAAGAAGTGAAGGATAATGGAGGGTAGAATGAGAAGTTCAGAAATATATCCAAGGGAAGTTGCAGAAGGAGATATAAAGAATGGAGAAAAGATGACATTTGGGGGGAAAAAATGATCATTTTCTAGAAATGAGGAAACACATGAAAACTTGCATTGAAAAATCTTACTGAGCAATTAGCAAGAAAATACATCTACACTTAGAAATGCCGTAGCAGAACCGAAGTCAGAAGGTGAAGGTTTTATATACTCAACATCCTGAGGGAAATAACTGTCCATCTGGAATTCACTAACCAGACAACTCTCTTTAAAAAAGTAAGAGTAAAGTAAATATTTGTTAAAACATACAAGAGCAAAAAAATATTTACTACCCTTTACTGAAAAAACTAGCAAGTATATACAATAGCAAGGACCCAGAGGGGGTGCAAGAAAAAGGAGTGAGCAATTAAATTCTTAATAACATCTGATTGTGATTGTGTCGATGTTAGAATATATTTCTAGATTCTATTTCCTAATATTTTTAAAATTCACCTCTATATAAGAGAAGTTATTCTGTGGTTTTCATTTTTTGCACCAATTTTAAAAATCAGATTTGGCTTCAGCATAATGGATATCTTCAGCAGAAGGTACTGTCTAACAATTGGCCTGAGGGACGTTTCTGGGTTCTTACAACATTCTGGGTTTTTTTTTTTAATCTATCTACTCAAGTATGTTCAGTATGTAAAAATTCCTCAAGCCATACATTTAATAACTGTAAAGGTTTTTTAAAATATATTTTATCGATTTTTTTACAGAGAGGAAGGATAGAGAATCAGAAACATCAATCAGCTGCCTCTTGCACACCCCCTACCGGGGATGTGCCCGCAACCAAGGTACATGCCCTTGACCAGAATCAAACCTTGGACTCTTGAGTCCATGGGCCGATGCTCTATCCACTGAGCAAAACAGGCTAGGGCAACAACTGTAAAGGTTTATCATGCATGTTTTACTTCACCAAAAAAGGTTTGTAAGTTGTGTTACCTTCATGAAATGAATTTTGGCCCTAGCCAGTTTGACTCAGTGGATAGAGTGTCGGCCTGCAGACCAAAGGATCCCAGGTTTGATTCCAACCAAGGGCACGTACCTGGCCCAGGCCCTGGTCTGGGCTCATACGAGGCAACCAATTGATGTGTTTATCTCACATTGATATTTCTCTCTGTCTTCCCCTTTCTCTTCTACTCTACCTCAAAAATTAATGGAAAAATATCCTTGGGTGAGGAATAAATAAATAAATAAAATGAATTGGGGAGTTTCCATCTTTTTATTCGAGGCCATAGCCTTTTAAATATTTTAAAGCTGGATCTTTAAAGTCTACCCAGAACTTAGTTATAAAATCATCTAGTCCTGACATTTTTCTTCCTATTTTATTATAAAACTGTTCAAACTACATTCAACACTTAAGATTTTACCACACTCATTTCATCTATTCCTATGGCTGTGTTTGCTATGGATGCTGAACTATTTTAAAGCAAATTTAGGTTTTGGCTCTAAGATACTATCCTTACATACTTTGGTGTGCATCTCAAAAGTATCGACATCATCTTTCATAGCCACTATGCCATTATTATTCCAAGAAAAATTATAATTCCTTACTACCATCTATTTATCCATATTTGAAGTCCATTTGTTGTCTCAAAACTATCTTTTTCCAGTTGGTCTGTTTCAATCAGATTACTTGCAAGATTAAGGACTGTATTTGGTCTCTCAAAGATTTTTTTAATCTAGAGTAATTCCTCACTTTTTTTTTCCCTTGTAATTGAATTACTGAAAAAATTGGTCCATTGTCCTGTAGAAGTTTCCACAATCCAGATTTGTACCTCAGAGGGTCATTTAATTTATTCTTCTATCATCCACATTCCTTGTAAATTGGATGTTTGCAGTGGCTTGATTATATTCAGGCTCACCTCCTTTTGCAAAGAATAAATTCAGTAGGTGATGCTGTGTACTTCAGGTTGCCTCACCATAGAAGGCAAATAATATCTGGTTGTCCCTGGGTTAGTGATTGTAAGACTGAGTAGTGCATTCAGGTGGTGACAGCCTGGTGCCTTTTTATAAAGTTCCCCATCAACCTTTCACCTAATGGCTTTCACCCGCAGATGAAAATGGTAGCACCCGCCGAAACCAGTTTGGCTCAGTGGATAGAGCGTCGGTCTGCGGACTGAAAGGTCCCAGGTTCGATTCCGGTCAAGGGCATGTACTTTGGTTGAGGGCACATCCCCAGTGGGGGGTGTGCAAGAGGCAGCTGGTCGATGTATCTCTCTCATCGACGTTTCTAACCATTTATCCCTCTCAATTCCTCTCTGCGTAAAAATCAATAAAATATATTTTAAAAAAAAGAAAAAAAGAAAATGGTAGCACCCACTGCGAGGCTCCCAGAGACCCCACCTCCTAGTGGATACATGCTTGTGTCTCCTGAGAGCAGGCTAGACTTACGACTTACTCCCTTGAAAAGAATACATCATAGATGACAGGATGTTACTGCAAGATTAAGCTACAAAAAAAAAAAAAAAAAAAAAAGTGCAGCCCTAGCTAGTTTGGCTCAGTGGATAGAGCGTTGGCCCACTGATGACTGAAGGATCCCGGGTTCGATTCTGGTCAGGGGCACATGCTTGGGCTGTGGGCTCGATCCCCAGTAGGGGGTGTGCAGGAGGCAGCCGATTGATAATTGTTTCTCATCATTGATGTTTCTATCTCTTTCTCCCTTCCTCTCTGAAATCAATAAACATGTATTTAAAAAAAAAAAAAATGCATTCTCTCTTGGATGCCTGCTTTTGCTCTCACTCACTGGCTAGCTCCTAAGGAAGCCAGCACCACCGTCAGAGAAGCCTTTTGGAGATGTCTATGTGTCAAGTAAATGTGGCCAATAGCCAGCAACACGCTGAGATCTGCCAACAACCGCATGAATGAACTTGGGAGCCGATCCTCCTCCTATGATCCTTGAGATGACTGCTGACCTTGACTCTAACCTTGTGGGAGACTCTGAGCCAAGAGCATCTCTTTAGGCCAGACCCAGCTTCCTCATCCACAGAAACTGTGAGATAATAAACATGTGTCATTGTAAGCTGCTCATTTTGGGGTCATCTGTTACACAGCGATCGGTCACTAGTACAATCATCTTTGTCCGGATCAGTTATTGTCATTAGAGTTTACTCACTATAATTTTCTCATTTTATTGCTAAGGATTCCCTCTTTAGTTGCCATTTTTCAGATTAAGGAGTTGATGTTCTAGTCATGTCCAAGGATAGACAAAGAAATCTTTTAAAAGTAGCATTGGTGTTTGTTGTTTTTTTTTTTTTTGTAAACTTGTTTTTTAAGTATAATATCATGCAGAAAATCATAAGCTTGATGAATTATAACAAACTGGACATACCCTATGGAACCACACCCAGGTCATGAAATGGTACACTGTCAGCACTTTTGCACTTTCCTAAATTTTTACCCTCCTGTAACCAGTACTGACCACAGGTTGTTTTTGTCTATTTTTGCACTCTCGTATACAAATGTACACATACTGCATGGATTCCTTTGATCTGACTTCAGTCAGCATTATGTTTGTGAGATGCATTGATGTTATCTATGTAGCACTAGTTATTTATCCTCAATGCTGTTTAGTATTCAGTTACACATAAAAAAAAAATGGCCTGATTTATGAGTCTGTTCTGCTATTGACAAACATTTGGGTCATTTGCAGAAGAGTTCTAAATTTTAACTTAAATTTCAATTTGGCTTTCCAAGTTGTCAATGAAGAATTATTGGTGAATAGCACATGTTTTATTCAATGATTTGTGGTCTTGATTTGTATTTTTAACTATTTAGATATACAACGTGTGGGCCTCCATTGTACTCCTTCCCTGAGTCTTATAAACGCTAGGGGATGAGTCTCTCTACATAGAATTAAAGTACAGGAACGCAATAGCACGTAAGTTGGCTGGAGGTAAATGGAGTGAGAGGGCCCTAAGACAGAGTGAACTAACAGACATTGGTTTTCAATAAGTTGAGGATGTTTGCTGTAGTGTGAAGGGTGTCCACTAAAAGGACAGGGAGATAATGTATAATTAACAAGCAAATAGAGGAGGGAAAAGGAATAAAAAATATTTAATCAATCCAAAAGTAGACAAGAAAGTAAAGAAAAAGTAATATGTTCAGGTGGGAAAAACAGAGTAAATAGTAAGATATTAGATATTGATATGACAACAATTGATTTAAATATGAATGGAATAAATACTTCTATCAAAAGCCAAAAGACTGTTGATCTATATAAAAATTATTTCAATGACATGCTGCTTACAAGAAAGATAAGTTAAGCCGAAACCGGTTTAGCTCAGTGGTAGAGCATCGGTCTGTGGACTGAGGGGTCCCAGGTTCGATTCCGGTCAGGGGCATGTAAGTTGGTT